CACACTAGGTGCACTCAAACCAGCAGCATTCTCTGCAAATACTCTGTATTCATACTCACATCCTTCACGGAGATTGGAAGCTTTTACTCTTAAGTCATAAACAGGCTTTTTGTTGACACGTACCCAGCGGAGACCAGATTTCTCACGTTTCTCAATTACATAGCCAGAAATACTACTGCCTCCATCAGAGACAGGTCTTTCCCAGCAAATTGTCATTGCTTCACTTGTAACACTGGTGACATCAACATTTGTAGGTGCAGCAGGGATTGTAAATGGATCCATTGCCTTAACAGGATCACTCTCCAGAGCTTCACCGGTTCCATACTTATTAACTCCTCGAACTCTAAATATATACTCATTGCCTTTGAGCAGTTTTGTTGCTTTACATGTTGTGGCTTTCATATCTGCATAGACCAGAGTCCAGGCAAGCCGGCTTGTTTCACGTTTCTCAACTATGTAGTGCTGAATTTCAGCACCTCCATTTTCTTGAGGTGGTCCCCAGTTCAATGTACATTTCTCTGCAGTCAAACCAGTTACTTCCAACGGTCCAGCTGATGGGCCAGGCCTGTCCAGGACCTTACAGTTTACTGCCAAAGATCTGGTGCCTGCAACATTTTGCAATGTTAGAACATACTGTCCAGAGTCTCGTCTAATGGCATCTCTCACAATTATTGTTGTACTAGTGAGTGTTGAAGAAATCTCAAATCTGGCCTTGGCTTCAATTTCTTTCCCATCCTTTGCCCATGAAGTCACAGGAATTGGACGTCCTGATATTTCAGCATCAATTCTAAGTATGTCTCCAGCTTTCACTACAACCAGTTGTCTTAGCTTGTCCTCAATTGTGATGCGTGGTGGATCAACATCATCTTTTACAGTCACAGGTCCTGTACCCTCTGATGGTTCACTGAGTAAGCCAGCTGCATTCTTAGCAATTATATGGAAATCATATCTCTGATCTTCCATCAGACCAGTCACGTCAAAGAATGTTTCTTGAAGATTGGTGAAATTACACTTTAACCATCGTCCATCTGGAAGTTCCCTGCGTTCAACAATGTAACCAGTCACCTTAGCTCCACCATCAAACTCAGGTATTACCCAGGAGAGAGAAACAGATGTTCTTGTGATGTTCATAACTACTGGCTGACCTGGAGGTGCACATGGATCTCGGGCAGAAACAGGATCACATGCCTTTGTGCAAGGTCCAATGCCAGCTATATTCTCAGCATATACTCTATACTGATACAAGAGACCTTCTTCCAAACCAGTTACCTTGAACTGAGTTTCTGTAATAGGCCCTCTGTTCATCTTTGCCCAGAGAATGCTGCTCTGATCTTTGCATTCCAAGTGATATCCAAAGACGGGACTGCCACCATCACTTGCTGGTCTGTTCCAGGTAACTAGCATTCCTGATTTAGTGGCTTGAGCAATGTGAAGACTGGTTGGAGGGCCTGGAGGTGAGAAGGGATACTGTGCAACTACTGGAGCAGAGTCAATTGCATGGCTTTTTCCATAACGATTCTCTGCAGCAACACGGAACTGATATTCTGTTCCTTGTGTCAAACGAGTTACTTTGATTGATGTTCTAGCAACGGTTGCTGAAACAATTTGCCATGCTGTAGTGGTCATATCTCTCTTCTCGACTACATAATTATTAATTTGACAACCACCATCATAAATTGGAGGGTCCCATGATAGTGAAATAAAATCAGCACTTATTTCCTCTACCTTGATTGCACCTGGTGGACCTGGTTTATCAAGAACAATAACAGATATTTCTGCTGATTTAATGCCAATCGAATTGGTTAAAATAATTTCATATTTTCCAGCATCCTCTCTTGTTGAATCCTTGATGACAATCTTTGATGATGTCTTTGATGTCAAAACATTAACTCTGGTTGTTTGCTTCAATGAGTGACCATCCTTTTTCCATGTAACCTCTGGAAGAGGTCTGCCTCTGAATGGAACATCTATTTTGAGATCATCTCCAGCCTTCACACTGTAGGTATTAAACAGCAAATCAACAATGGGTTCAATAGTAATATCTCGTGCCACAACAGATGCTCCCAGGGGTTTAGAATCACTCTTTCCTTTGTCATTAACTGCTGTAATTCTGAAACTGTATTCCTCTCCTGTTGTAAGTCCTTCAATTGTGGTTTCGAGTGCCTTTACTGTAGCACATACAGTCCATTTATCTGATCCCTTAGTCATCATTTCCACTGTGTAGCCTGTGATTTTGCTGCCACCATCATGATCTGGCTTTTCCCATGCTAGAGTAACAGTGTGGCGAGTTACATCAACAACTGTAATTTTACCAGGTGGTAAGGGTGCTTGGGAAACTTTGACAGCCTCTATGGTCTCTGCAGGCAAACCAACACCAAGTTCATTCACAGCCAAAACACGGAAGTGGTAAAGACCTCCTTCTTGGAGATCATCAACCTTGAATGAATTTCTGACACAGCTGTTTGTCACAGTTGTGAATGCCAGCCTTTTAGATTCACGCTTTTCCACAATGTAATGGGTGATCCTGGCTCCACCATCAATTTGTGGAGGCTCCCACTGTAGCTGGACATAATCTCTCTTTACATCCTTAATTTCAAAATTCACTGGAGCACTTGGAGAGTCAAGGACCTTGACATTAATAAATGAAGATTTTGTGCCACTATTATTTTCAAGGGTCACAACATATTTTCCAGTATCAAATCGGTTAACATTGTCAATAACAAGCACAGTATAAGAGCCTGTTACTTCAATTTGAGCCCGCTCTGGTAAGGTACCATCTGCCTTTGTCCACTTAACCTCTGGCTCGGGCCTTCCCCTTATGGCGACAAATAATCGAAGTGTTGCACTGGCACGCACAGTCACACATTTCCTAAGATCTGCATCAAGTTCTATCTCAGGAGCTTCAAGTTTTTCAGCAGCAATTACAGATCCTGGAACATCAACATGCTCTCCAGCCCCCTCAATATTTAGTGCACAAATACGGAAGTTGTATTCTGCATTTTCCTTTAATGTTTTGACGGTGAAGTGAGTTGTTTGCACACCGGTTGGTGGAGTGCATACTGTCCATTCATCTTCACTAACTTCCTTTGCCTCAACAATGTATCCTGAGACCAGTGCTCCACCATCATAAATTGGTCTACTCCATGCCAAGGAAACAGTTGTGCTTGAGTGATCTGTTATTTTAGGATTATTAGGAGGACCAGGAGGATAAGTTGCATCACAAGCTTTGTAATATTGAGATGGTTCACTTGGTGTGCCCACACCAGCAGCATTTTCAGCAGATACTCTGAATTCATAGAAGTGTCCCTCTGTAAGCCCAGTGGCTCTGAATCTCAAGTCATTCAGTCTTTTCTTGTTACACTTTGTCCATCTTATACCCTCTTTATCACGTTTCTCAAGAACATAACCATCAATTTGTGATCCGCCATC